GGAAAGGTTTAGGAGTTAAAAAAGGGTTTTTTTGGGGGTTGCGGTTTTTTTAAGGTTTAGTTGTTATATGAAAGGTTAAGTTTTTATTTTTTTTTAAAACGTGGGGGTTGGTTTACGCCTTTTTTATAATTTGGCCTTTTTGGGAAATTTTTCGGGCTTTTTTTTAATTTTTGAGGGGAACCTCAAAAACAGGAAAAAACCGTGTTCAACCTGGGATTTTTCATTTTTGGGGCCCCTACCCCCCTTGGAAAACCCAAACAGGGGCCGAGCCTTTTTTTTTTTTTACCCTTTTTTGGGGGTTTTTTTCCCCCCCCCCCCCCCCCCGAACAAATACAAACCTCTTTTAAAACCAGTCGCACACGAGCGCTAGAACGGTTTGGGATTGGCACGTGCACACGTGCGCCCACAGGAAACTTTGATGGAGGCGAAACGAGAGGCGTCGAGGGGGGGCGGAGGCGTGGGTGCCGAGAGCGAGCACCACCTGCAGGGCCTCGTCGATGATTTTCTCCAGGTGACAAGGTGGAACGTACATAGAGCAGGCAGCGGTGGCGGCGGTAGCGAATGCAAGCTCCCCGTGAGAGGAATGTATCCGGCGCTGCCATGTTGGATAGTGTGGGTTTTGAAACCAGGGGGGGGCGGCGTGTATTGATTTTTTTTTTCGGTTTCGGTCTTGGTTCAGGGGAGAAGTTATCGTTTTCACGCGCTTTGTTTGAAGACACCGGGAAACACCCGGCCCTATGTCGGTCTTCCCCGCGTGGAATAGCGGATCGTCGGATTTGTGTATTGGTGGCAACAGTAGCAGCGAGTACATTTTTTGTTTTTTTTATTTGCAACCTTGGTCTTTGACGCCGTAACTTTGCAACCATAGGCGATGAGCAACGCGGCTGGGTGCGGTCTCGAGGGTGTGTCGAAGTTGGTCGCTGCTGGACGACGGCTGTTCTATGGATGGTTACGCTGCAGACACAACAAATGTGGACCTACTGTTTATGCTGATTCAATTCATTCCTTCGGGTTTTGTGGGACGATGCTCGTTGTACCGTTGTGACATTCACACACGGGGATTGTTTCTGAATCCCGTACCCGCTCAACGAATACTGATTCCCGGCCATTTCGCGCCTACAGCAGCGTTGCTGCGATAAAACTTTGCTGGTCACCCCACGGGATGGAACTCCAGCCCTCTATTGTGCGGGTGACTGGTACAGGGTGTGTGAAATTTCTTGCCACAGATAGCATAGTCAGGTTGGTGAATACTTTGACGAGGGCGGCCCGATATAGGGCGGGCTATGCATTGAGCGGGTATCCCGTATAGAGCGGGTTGGATATCTTGGATCAGATATATCGGTGGCACGTTGTGTTATGCGCTGAATAGGGCGGGGTCCCCGCAATATGCAGGCAGGTGAATCGGCCTGGCACGTGCCCGCCCTTGGGAAGGATCCCCGACTGCACTGAACCCTCGCGTGATGGAGGCATGCACCTATTAGGAGGAAGAATACATTCAGTTGAGGGAATCTGAGGGAGACGGATTCGGGAGGGGGAAGGAGAAACTCAGGCGATGAAGCCAACTTGAACAACGGCGTGCTTTATCAGCAGTTACATTTCCTTCGGACAAGACCGCACGGATTGTTTTTTCACAGCATATCGGCACGTTGTTCTTTTTCACAGCGAATTTATTGCACTGTGCCCCAACCCGCAGCTTTGTGTGCCCGCGTATTTTTTATTTGACGGTGACACAAACCTATCTGACATCTTGTATCTTACCCTTCAGTACAATGCTAGTCTCCTTGATTCTTTCTTTGCTCTCGTTTTGTCCTTCGGCCTACCCGGCGCCCGCGCGTGCCCCCCTCTGTACCCTCTGGACCGAAAGATGCACATCAGCTTCCAGCTCCTGTGCAGACACTTTCTCCAGTCTCTCAAGCCGTTGGATCTCGAGAACTCCAACAAGAGGACCGGGCTCGTGGCGGAAGAGTGCTTGCTGAGCGATGTCATCGCCGATGCTATCGGTATGACGCGCGAAAAGCAGCATTCTGTTTTTTGTAACACAACAAACCCATTTGTTCCGCAGACGAGATAAGAGTCCAGGGTAGCATTAGGTAGAAGGCCTCGGATATGCTTCTCCGGCAGCGCTCTTTCCCTCCCTATTCGTTTTTCCTGCAGCTTGCAGAGAGTTGCGCGAGTTGACACGCGTGCTGCTGCTACGTGTGTAGTGGAAATCCTCGCGACAGGGGTCGCCTGGGATACGTTTAGAGGAAGCAGATAATCACGAGTGTGCACGTCGACAGAAAAGCAGTCCCCTGTCGCCCGGCCCTAAACCTGCACTCTTGGACCCCCCCCCCCCCCCCCCCCCCCCCCCCGACGGTACAGTACCCCCCCTTCCCTCTTCCTCTCTTGGTTGTTATTTTGATTTTTTCAGCGTCTCTCCCCCCTCTCCCCCCCCCTTGCTGTGGTTTCGCCATGACAGGTTAACCTTAACCTTTTCACTTCCATTTTTTTTTTTTTTGTTCTTCCCCAAGGTGTCTTCCCACCACCACCACCACCGCGATGCGCCATATGGTACTGTACGTACCTTGTGATTTCCTTTTCTTCCTCTTCGTTTTTTTTTTTTTTTTTCTGTTCCTCCAGGAGCCTTCCCATGATCACCACCGCGGCGCGCGAGGGCAAGAAGAAGATCAGCCCGTACATGCCTCAGGAAGGGGCTGCGGGCATGGCGTATCACGGGTTGTGCGTCTTCTTGGTCACCCTGACGGTGAACTATCTCGTCATCCCCTTCCAGGTGTGTGCGTGTGTGTGTGTGTGTGTTTTATTTTTTTTTTTTTTGTGACGCCATGCGGTCCGTTTTATTTTTATTTTCGCATGACTTTTTTCAGGGCGTGTGTGTGTGTGTTTTTTTTTTTTTTGTGACGCCATGCGGCCCGTTTTATTTTTATTTTCGCATGACTGTTTTCAGGGCGTGTGTGTGTGTGTGTGTTTTTTTTTGTGACGCCATGCGGCCCGTTTTATTTTTATTTTCGCATGACTTTTTTCAGGGCGTGTGTGTGTGTGTGTTTTTTTTTTTTTGTGGCGCCATGCGGTCCGTTTTATTTTTATTTTGGCATGACTTTTTTCAGGGTAGGTTTGCCTGTGACCACGGGAATCGACCGCGTCAAGTGTTGGATCAGTACAGAGGGAGGGAGGTGGTTCGGAACGTTTTTTAATGTGAAGACAACAACAACAACAACAACAACAACAACAACATATGGAAGAGCACGACGCACGTGGTTGCGCTCTTTGCTGTTGCGAAGGGCTTACCTCTGAAGGGGGGAAACAAGTCAAAACTCTCGCATGTTCCCCCAAGGAAAAAATAGATGGTACTTCCATTTCCTTCACGTGTGTGCTTTTCACGTCGTGGAACGCAACCAACGTGGAAGGAACGGTTGGTGAATTTGTTGGCAAAGAGGTACAGAACGAACTCCCGTTCCTACAGATGATAGGAAAGAGGGATGCCTTGGAGGGGCCGTGGAAGTGTTTCGGGAAGGAACACGTCGCGGCAGAAATTACTGATACAGCAGAGAGAGAGGGGGGGGAGGGGGAGGGGGGGGGGGGGGAGAGAGAGAGAGAGAGAGAGAGAGAGAGAGTGAAGAGAGAGAGAGAGCAACCTATTTTTGAAGCGTACATGTACTCGGTCTACCTGCTGCCTTTGGCAGGAACCTTTAACCTTCGTTACGAACGAACCACCAACGACGAAACAACCGTTGTCTTTGGCCCTCGGCTTGCAGTGCACAACTTGGCGAGTGATTATAGAACGGCGCTTATCCCAAAGGTGCTTGCGAAGCGTTTCTGTTTCCCGTCTGCTCGAGTTCATCACATTTTGAGTGCGGATCAGTGACCTCTTTTGCCGCCTCCTGCATGCCCCCCTCTACTCTCGCTCATGGTCAGGGCGGTCTTACTGCCCTGCTGTCGGACAAAACTGATGTACATACTCCTCATGTAGGTATCAGCTGTTTTCCTGATCTGAGAAGAGCCGCATTGAGGGTGTGGCACAAACTGGCATGGCATACGCCCCCCCGGTCACCCATGCGCCGCCTAATGGGGATGGTGGCGTTGTCTGTGGTCGATGTTGCTTCTTTTCCTCCCCCCGTCAGTTGCTTGGTCAATGTTCTGACGACTACGGCATGGACGACAATGAGTACACCCCCCCCGCGCCGCCAGTTGCTTGGTCTGACGGAGTCGCTGGACGCGTGGACTGATGCCTGATGTTGCCTTTTTTTTTCTTGCCTTTCCCTGATTGGCTGCCCCCCCGACAGTTGCTTGGTCTGACGGAGTCGCTGGACGTGTGGGGCACCTTCTCCTTCGGGATCCACGCCCTCGTCGTTGGGCTTTACTTGGTCTGCCAAATGATCCCGACGAAAAAGGTACAGCAGTCAGTGGCTCCGACATACCGTACTGTATCTTCATGCGTTGGGGTGAACATTCGAGCATGTTTTTTTTTGTTTTTTTTGGGTGGGGGGAGGGGGGATGGGGGTTGCGGTCAGCTGCTGGAAGGACGTGAAAAATATTGCTCTCGGGGCGTTAGTACTGGAAATCGTTCAAGGACGTCTAGTACCGAACTTTTCCTCCCGACGCCCGCACAAGCACACAAGCACACGGGCTGCTTCCAGGACGGGGCACGGCCGGGTGTGATGCTTGGTGTCACATCTGCATAGGGTCGCGTTTTTTGTGTGGAGTGCTTTGCAGTCGGCTGTATTTTTTTCCTTGTGCCGTGTTCGAGTGTGTGGCTTGTGACCGCGGGACTTGTCACAGTTTGCTCTGAAGGGTTCGTGCGAGGGGTTGCCGAGAAAACGCTCGAAATACCCTAACAACAAGCGTTCTGACGACGGCGATTACAACAACTGACAACCCCCTCCCTCCGTCCGTCCCTTTTTGTCGTTCTCGGGTGTGCCGTCAGGCCCAGTCGAAGAGCAAGACGGCCTGATTTCGTCGCGGCCCCACGCCGGCACGCCGGTAGCAGTAGCATCATAGAGAGAGAGCAAGCTCGTTGTGCTGAGCAGGAAGGGATGTCAGTGGCCATCCATCCCGAAGTTGGGTACATGGGTCACCACGACCCATCCATCCCGCCACGGCACCGGGGATACACTACAATAGCAAATCACCCCGGTATATCTACACCAGGCTGAGGTTCCTCCTGTGGGAGGGGGGGGGTGTAGTCATAGCCGTGCATGCCGTAGTCGTTAGACCGTTGACCTCGCATCCCTACAAAGCCGGGACGGAGAACACCGGCTTTACACCGGACCAGGCTCTCACATCGCCGAGCGCGAAGCACCGTGAGGTATTCGGCGAGATGTGGGGGGACGGGTGGTGCCGCGGTGGCATGCGGCTTGTTGGCGTGCCGGTATCGACTTCGGCCGAGTATTTTCATTGCAGCTGGCGGCGACCGCCGCAGTTTTTTTTTTTTTTTTTTGGCCGCAGTTTAGTGCGCCCAGTGCCTTTGTTGTTGTTCTTGTTGATGATGATGGTGTTGACGCTGCTGTTTGTTTCGGTGTTGTTGTTGGGTGTCGGTGCTGTTGTGTTTTTTTTTGTCCACTCTTGACCATGCAAATCAGCGTGCGACCCTCGACCGGTCGCTAAACGGTAGCGGCGATTGTGGAAAGGGGGGTAGGTAGACGTTGGGAGAGCGGACAGGGGGGCGCGCGGCGAAGTCGGGAGCTCTTGGCATTTAATGTGCATTGATGTTCTGGTGCTGTTTTGGCTGCTCTATTTTTTCTTGCTAGGGTCGGGCAGGGGATAGAGGCGTAGAAGCGACGGGAAGCTTAAGGTTGCTGGTGGATATCGACGTGCGGCTTGCTGTTTTCAACGCCACGTGATCATCTCAACTTTCATCGGTGTTTCCGGCGATGTACTGTGTTCGACATAGTCAATGGGGGTGAGTTTAATTGTCGGAAGCCTGGGATTGCAACAATCCTGGGTCGTAGTTCGCCCATATTTCGATGACGAAAGCAGTGAACCAAAATGAGATAGATTCTCCCATTGCAAATGGAGGGATGCTTCCTTTTACGGATCTTGTTGATGAGCACCAATACCAAGGATTTTCGAAAGTTTACGGGCTTTTACATGTGGCAAATCTCCTTTTGTCCCGAGATCCTTTTCAGCCGAAAAGCTACGGCTGTACAACGTAGTCGTCATTAGGATCCACTTGCAAGAGCTTGTCAGCAGGTGCGCAGGTTTGGGCGGATCATAGCGGGTTGCATGTTTTTGTTTTCTTGTCGGCGAGAATGTTCCATTTTTTTACTGCGGTCGCCGCTGGCCGGCGTTGGTTTACCGTTGAGGGCGGCGCACGAATGAATTGGTCACCCCGTATTCAGTGTTTTGACTATCGGGCATTTACTAGCTTACAATTCACAACAGACCCGATTACGGTAAAAAGCACGACGTTTAGGCGCTCCCGAGCTTGCCACCTCTCTCTCTGTCAGGCATGTCCTGTATCGTGTAGCACGTCCTCCGTGCGGTCAAGCTTATTAGTCTAGTCTTGTCATCACGTGGGCCTCATCCAACAACACAGTTACTCGTTCACGTGTGCATGTCCCATCAGCATGATCAACAGCGCGCAAGCGAACAGTCTACCTGGAAACCTACCCACCGAAGACGAAAACTCACTTCTCTTCCCGCGCGTACACTTTGCTTCCACCAAAAACACACGTTGCACAACCCTACTTCAGCTTTCAGCGCGCGTCCAGCACAACATGTGGAATCATTCCTTGGTTGTCCGGTACCTCTCGTGCGGACATATTTCCACGGTGAGCTGTCACAAGGAAAAACAAAGTACTTTTACATCCGTTGGTGATGGGGGGTCGGAACAACAACGGTCTGGATTTGTTTCACTATTTGACACTGGAGGGGTCGTTGCGTTTGTTTGCGAAGCAACCCCCCCCCCCCGGATTCACTGCCGCCCCTCAAAAGCCCAAAAACGACATCCCACGCATCACCAAGTTCAGTCCCCCTTGAGTTGAAATGAACAACACGAACGAACCCTTTCATCTTCACCCCACGGCGAAGAAAGGAGAACCGCCCGTGGAGTGCACACAACTCGCGGCACTCTCTTTCTTTCAGCCTGCCACGAACACTTGAAACAAAAACATTCCAACATCGAATCACTCTTTCTCCCATAGAAACAGCTGCAACAACCATCGGACGGTAACACCAAGGGTAAACAAACACAAGAATTCCATGCGAAACAAAGTCAGTCTTATGTCTAGTCTATGGATTTTGAGAAAAACACCTGAGGCTGCAGTACAACACAATAATATCAGCATTCATTGTAAAGAGAACAACACCAACAACAATCGTAAAAGGTGTCACGGTAGAATGAAATAAATGGAGTGGTACCTGGTATGCTCTACATAGTAGCAGCGACAGCGACAGTCACCCCCTTTGCCGTCTAGACTAATAGTCTATTCCCCTAGAAAATGTCGGCAGGAAGGCAACGTTGAAAGGGATCATGTCAAGACGAGGCACTTGTGGAAAACACGCTGAATCATCGGCATTTATGCGTACAATAATAGTAAAACAAAAAATCACTCTCTTTTCGCGACAGAAAACAATGGTCCAGTCGCACAAACGAAGGAGAGAGCTACACCCGGACAGCGCCGAAACGAGCAGGGGGGACATGGTTGACGTGGTCTCGTCACGTCGACTCTTGTGCCTTTTCTCGATCAACAGGACTCGTTGAAATGTAGCACAAACTCGTCGCGCGGCCCTCCAGGCCGACGTCACCGACATCGTCTCCACCTCGGCCACCCCACTTCTATCTGTCCCTCTCTTACGCCTTGTGCGCCTCAGACTCAGACCCATCTCCTTCCTCCTCATCGTTATTGTCGGTCTCTTCTTGGTCTTCGACCATCTCGATCATGTCTCCCATCACCTTCTCGAAGGAGGCCATGTCTCCGCGGTCGTTCAGGTCGGTGGCCAAGAATGCGGAGAGGTAGCACGACACCTGTGTGAAGCGGGGGGTGGCCACGAGTGAGCGGACAAAAGACAGCGAATGAGTGGAAGTGAGGAATGAGTGGACGTGAGGCTACTACTGCAGTAGCCGTCTTACGGCTTAGCACAGTATACCATATCGGGGGGACCGCTTTCGCAGGATATTATGCAGTATTATATGTAGTGCCTATTCCCTTCACCTACCCTCAACCCAACTTCCCGGGTTGAATGCTTTATCTAACATGTTTCCTGAATACCAAAATCCTGCGAAGGCTACTGTATCGCGGAGATATACTCGAGTTATCTATACAGTGCACCTCCCCAATACTTTGGTTTAATCGATAAAGCACAATGAAGATTGCCCATCATGGTTTTGAATGCGGAGTTTATTCAAGGCTGTGTCGGACTACTGTAGGAACTCATATCTCAGCATCTGGGGGGTGAAGCTTCGACCTATTTGATCTATTGGTGTGGGTCGATATGTAGCAAGGAAGGTCTGGCTTTGGAGGCTATTTAGACGGACGGTGACGGGGTTGTACGTGTCAAACCAGCCAAAAAGACGAGTTACCAACAACAGGGAGCAACCCACAACGAGACAACGATAACAGCAGTAACAATAAAAATGGAAACAACGCGGAACTTCCATGAAAAATACCTCGGACACACCGAATAGACCAATGTTTCTTGAAAGAAGCCCATCTCCCGCTTCCCTCCCAATGCAGGAGAGAGAGAGCCAAAGCTCACACTCGCACACCGTTTTAGTCGAGAAGCGTTGTCTAGCCGTGAGAGTAGACTATGGCATGTGGTGTTGCGGCGGAGGTCCGACGTGGTCGCTGAATCAACTCACCATGCCCCTCACGCGAGCCGAGCCCAGGTCCGGGTGCAGGTTGTCGACCGTCAAGAGGCTCTCGAAGGCTCTTGTCGACATCGTCCTCTCCATCATGTTTCGCTAAGCAAGAAGCACCGGCAGGAGTTGTACGTACGCGGTACGAGTTACAGGAAGGGATGGATGGATGTGAAACGTCCATTGAATACTGAAGAAGTCATGACAAAGATACGGTGTGTGCTTTTGCTTGGTGGAGTCACGCGATGGTGCATATTCGTGGCAGTCCGATGCTTGACCTACAGCATCAGCCGGTAGCACATGTCGAATCAAGCACGTGAAAAACATGTCGAACAAGCACCTACTCGAAAACTCACCATTAAAATGAGGAGACGCTTTATTTAATCCTCCCCAAATCTGTGTCGTCATGGGTATTGAAGCATTTTTGGACGAGTTCGAATCTGTCGTTGCAGCCTGCCTGCAGCTAACCCTGAGAAAAGTTATTGTTCTTCAAGAAGGAAGGGCGATGCTACACAGCTGAACCAAACCACTCGGAGAGGACTCAAGGGTTTGCAGAGAAGCAGCTTTCGATGCAATCATTAGTTGCACGGGCTACGAAGAACTCTTGTAATTATTAATGTATTCCGTGCTTTTCGGGTGTGGTTTTCGTTTCGCCCCCTCTCATCTAGAGGATCAACCTGTCAGAAACACACTACTAAATTATTTAGTAGTCTAAATACAGATTAGCCAAACACAGGGAAAAGCTTACCCGGAGGATAAAAACGCATCAATAGAAGGCCTACGCATTTCCTACCTACGGGCTTACAGCCAGACCACAACAAGTAAGTATGTATCTCTCCCCCTCCCGGGGGTAGCCTTGGCTGTGGCTGCATGAAACGGAACGACAAGTTCTTGATCGGCTCAAGCAACGACACAACGAGCGAACGTGGTTAGGTGGCGTACAAGAAAAACAGACTATGCACACGCACCTCGAAGAGATCTCTCTCTGCCATGGCGAACGGACCGGTCCCCTTCGCCTCCAGGGCCTTCTTGGCCTTCGCCTCCGCAACAGTGAAAAGGTCCTTTTCCATCCAACGACAAAGCGCGCCAAACAAGGAGAGGCATCAAAACGGACGACAAAGCCTCAGTCAGGCGTTACGGAAAACGATGGCGGCAAATACTACCGTGACGGGTTCTCGGTGCCCCCTTTCCCGTAGGTTGGTAGTGCTCAAACAAGCGCTTGATTGGTGGAATTGTATGCGTTTTCATACAACAAGCGCAAAACAAATGTCGAAGCCATACCCCCCTCAAACATTGGGTTTGACCGTTGTTGACTAGACGATTGCATGATTCCGTGGTGATATTAGTACCCAATTCTCTCGGCCAGAAAGGTGTGCTCCTTGTTCTTCTTGCTGTTGTTGCCACCTTTCTGCGCGGGAGGTGGTGTACATCCAACAGCTTCTCGGAAAGCGGAGATAGATCCAAAAGTGTTCTACCGTTGTTTCCGGTGAGAAAAATAAAACTACACGCGACGTCTCTGTAACAAGTCTCACCGGCGAGATGAACATGTTCGCCTGCACCTTGTCGGGGGTCACGCAGACGGTGAAGGCCATCACACCCATCGCGAACGTGTCTTGGCTCTCGGATGTTCGTACCGGTGCCTGCATCACCTCCAGCGGCATGCTCCCGAGAGTTCCCATCATCTTCGGACGCATCTCTCCCAGCGCTGGATCATCAATGGTTAGTGTAGGAGAGGGGGGGACGGGTAATGAGGTTACTCTTGTCTCGCCTGGTAGTAATGTTGTAGTGATGGGGGGCCGTTGTGCTCGATTTTTCTTCCTTTCCATGTGGGACTGTCCGAAGCACGGTCGCATGGTTATGCACTCCCGCCCCATGCACCACCGGTAAATCCAACGATGGAAATACGCACGTTTCTCATGCTGCCACGCGACATCGGTGCGGTGCACCTCGCCACTACTCCACCGTATCCAGTGGTGCTGCACCCTGAACCCCCCCGAAACCGTGGTGTACGGGTGTATTTTTCTCTGTTTCTCTTTCACCTCGGGCAAGACCGAAGTCGGAGATCTTGGGCACGCATTCCCCGTCCCCGTCGTCGACCAGCAGAATGTTCGGCGGCGTGAGGTCCCCGTGGCCGATGCCCGCCTCGTGCATGTGTCGCACGCCGGAGGCGACCTGCTGCAGGCAGCTGTCCGAGGTAGGTGAAAGGGGGGGAGGCGTGTGTGTGTCACATCAATCAGTCAGAGCGGAGAGGACGTGACATGAATCATCTCGTGCAAAGCGATGATTTGTGGTGAGAATCGATGTCACTACACGTAGGTGGAAGTATCTGAGAGAGTTGATGAACAAGCGGAGAATGTTGTTGAATTTTTGTGTTCAGCAAATCCACACCACGCCATGGATGCGAGGCAGGCAACGGTCGCCTGTCCGAGCAATGAACCATGTCTGCCACGCTGCAGTACGCCCCACAACACATCCTCCCTACCTTGTCTCATCGAAGTTGGAACGCCATTTTTCCCTCTCTTGGAAGGACCTTCGATCGATCGATTCGGTTTGGTTCTACACGTACGTACATCAATATACCGCACAACTACGTATCGAGCATGCGAGGAGCTCTAAGCTCGTACACTATTTTGGTCGAAAGTATCCCCGCGGATGTATCCACAGACCCAACATTTTGAGAGTATATATCTCTCCATTCTACAGTTACCCGTCTGGTGCACGGTTTGCGGGAATGATTCCCAGTCCCTTCCTCTTGCTTCTCTGGTACATAGACATGCGGCTGTCACCTATTTCTTATTCGGCGTGGTTCAGGTGGGGCACAGTTCACATCAGCACTTCCAACAACACCAGATCCCCAATGCAGCGACGCAGCGGCATTGGAACATACCCACACACCTGAGCTTCTGCGTCATGCTCCAGTCACCGTCATTCAGCACTTGGCCGAAGTCGCCGTGTGCCCTCGGCAGAAGGATGGGCATGCCCACAGCCGCTTCGCGGTCGTCGATCGCAATGGCCCCGATGACGTTTGGGTGGGGGCTCTTGGCGAGGCTAGGGGGACAGCACAACAGCGGGCCGCACACACGCGCGAGGGCGAGGAATGCGAGGTGCTTTCACAGCAGTAAAGATATTTCACGATTTTCCGACCTTGGAGGAACCTACGATCGATCGATCGATCGATTCGTTTTTGTTCTAAACGTGCTTCCACGTACTCCGTCTAGCACTGTAGAAGAGGATCGGTATACATGCGAGGAATGCGAGGTTCGTGGTTTTGTCGAAACCACCTCCGCTGGATGTCCCGGCCGGCCCGGCGATTTCCCTTCTGGAGCTAACCGTATTGATGAAGGTTCGCAGCCAGACAAGATTCCCAGCCCCCTGCGCGTGCACCTATGGTAGGAATGCGGCCATTGCATATTTCCTATTTCGCGTGGGTCGGGTGGAGGGGGCAGGTGGGGGGGTATTTCACATTGACACGCCTCCGACCAAGCAAGATCCCCAGCGTACGCGGGCATTGGCACATACACACGCACGCATACGTCAGCTTCTGTGGCATACTGCAGTCACCGTAATTGAGCACTTGCTCGGAGTTGCCGTTCGCACTGGGTAAAAGGATCGGCATGCTCACAGCCGCTGCCCGGTCGTCGATCGCGATGGTCCCGACGATGTTCGGGTGAGGATTGTTCGCAAGGCTGGGGCGGAGGGGTGCATTTACATGAGTAACCCCCCCCCCCTCCCCAGCCTGGCCAACAGCCCCCACCCGAACAT